AAAAAAAAAAAAAAAAGACAACAGATTCAGTAAAAGATTAATTAGAACCAAATATATTGAGGCCCATGATAATTTTAAAATGCAGTTTTATTAATGCACTTTACAGTGCCATTCTTATTCTACCTTAAGAAATACTAATTATTAATAATCACAGCAAACTTTTCATTAGACAACTGTGTGGAGGAGTGGTTCATTTATATCATACTGCAAATAAATTTATAAACAATACTGAGCAACAGTGCTTCTTTCTAAAATTTTAAGGCAGATCTGTTTAGCATTGTAACTAATGTGGTACACAGCAGTTTTGGCAAATTTAACTGTTTTAGTTTCTCAGTGACAATGATAAATATGGTGGAGAACAGGTAACAAAATCTCTTTTCTAGTTCTTCTACTTGCCACCACTTTAAAAAACACAAGTTTTTATATAGATTTATATATTACTGTATCAAAAAACATTTAACAGCTTATTTAAAGCTTTAGTTTGCAATCATTCATTTGAAAGATTTCTATACATCACTGGGATTTCAAGGTTCTGTGTCAGAAATGCTGAAGTCTTTCTTTAGTGCAATGTCAGACTTTTTACCTTGGCTCATTTGTGTTCAAGGGTTCCCTAATTTTACTTTTGGATCTTCATTTTTGTTTACTTGACTTACTTCCTTTAGTATGTTCTCAGGTAAGGCGGGTTGATATCTATACAAATAACCACATGCACAAAGATGATAAACGAGGTATTCTAATTCATACATGGTTGTAGAATCAACATAGTGAAAAGAAACTGCAAGATCAGAACAGCAACCAGGGCCCTATACAGGAGGATAATAGTTATAATTCCAGTACCAAAAGGTTCTGGGTAGATAACTTTTGATTAAGTGGTGTTCTGGTACAAAGGGATGAAAAGTTTCTTTTCCTGTGGTATCTCTGGAATCCCCAGCTTCTACATTCATAACTTCCATGCATTTTCCCAGTGCTAGGTCTTCAATGGAAGAACTATGTGTACATTTTTCTGTTTTAAACGCATCAATAAATCTCTTCAAGGCTTCTTTGCTTAGTACATATCCTGCTCCTCCACTCATGTAACCCTGCTTTACAAAGGGCTTAAATCTTCTCCCAAAATAAATGGGTTTTTCAGGGCTATATTTTGAAAGAAGCCATCTCAAATTGTCTAGTATGACATATGTATCGTCATCTGCTTTCATAAACCAATCCGCATCTTCTAAATAATGGTCATGAACATACTGAAAAGCTTTAATTGTTTTCCAGTATAGTTGATCTCTACCTTCTTTGGTTTTTAATCCCACAAAGTCTTTATTTTCTTCTGAACTCATAAATAACACTTTATTACAATGTTGGGCCCATGTAGCTTTGACATGTTTGGCCTTTTTCTCTAGATTTTGAGGGCCCGTCATAACCCAACAAAGAATTTTAACTTTCTGGTACAGGTTTTCAGCGATGTCTGTGTTCTCATCTTTATGTTGGCTAGAATCTGCACTGAAGTTCATTTGTCCTTCTGGATGATTCTGTCCATTATCATCTGAATGTCTTGCATCAGGATCATTATGAAGAATATTAGGCTGGGTGTCACCTTGTTCTCCCAACAAAATACTAAATAGCTGAGAACATAAAAAAAATCCTATTGCTGATCCACAGAGGAAGGTTAAAATATTCAGCGAAGATTTAGAGGCCATTTCCTGAAAGTGTATTTCAACAGGTTTGGAAATCCCATCGCACTATGTCCGGGCCAAGGAGGGGAGAAGCAACATAGAACTCCTTTCCTCTTCCACGCAGAAGTGCCCCAACACACACCCGACTCGTCCATCCAGCAACAGGGAAACTGACATCAGCTGCGCTCCCTCTCGTCCCTCTGGGGGCAGGCGCAGAAGTAGCTCGTGGCCGCTAGCCCAGACCGCCGCGGCCGCTCAGACATCCTCTGACAGAGGCAGTGGGCCCAGTGCGCGCGCCCGCCCGCCCGCTCA